TTTAAATGAAAAATCGTGTGTATGTGTTTGGTGTGATATGAAGGATAAATAAATTTTTAAAAGTACTTCTAATCACAATATCGTAAAGAAATTTTTGGGTTTTATATAGAATTTTATTACTAATCGAAATTAAAAATATTATATAATATTATATAAGAATATATGTAGTATATATTCTTTGAAAATTCATTCAATGGAAATGTAGTACGCATGTGCTTGACGTGTTTTGCGGGAGAAAAAAAAATATTAAAATATTTCAAAAAATAATGGGTTCCTGAAAATTTTTAATTCGTAGTAAAATTTAAAAGTGAATCTAAATAAAATATAAAAAATGAAAATTTAAGGACCAGTTTTGAGAAAAAATTTTTTTTTAAATTTAATTGTTAATATTAGTACTTAAATATTAACAATTTTAATTGTTTAAACAATTTCATAAAAGTACAATCAATTATCTTTAAAACGCTGTAAATTTAAAGTTTCTATCTTTTATAGAACTTGAGATATACCCATTTGAAAATGTGTCTACAATGCCAATTTTCAAAACCCCGTGGGTCCATATCTTCTAGGAAAAATATCACAAAATTTTTTCCCGAGCTATGGGTCCTCATATTTTATGAAAGGAGCTTATAAAAAAAAATTTCAGACAAATCGGAGATAATGAGGTCAAAAAGGTGTCCGAGTTGTAAAGGAATGACCCCTATACACTAGGAAAAGTAATATGGGTGATTTAACCAGATTTTAACTAGATCTCAGATCAACGCATATTTTTACTCGAGACATCTTGTTGGTTCAACCATATCACAGGTTGGTTTTCATATCTTCTTTAACATATGAGCTTAAATTTCCATAACAAAAGTATCAGATTAATTTGACTAGTATGCAATTAGAGCTAAATTAATTTAAAAATAGGATAAACTGTAAAATAAATCATTATAAATTTTATATATACATATATATATTTAATTTAATTATATGCTTAAAATAAAAATGCTTACCATTGTCCTTCTAATATTCATTTTGTTTTCTTTTATTTTAATTAATTAATTTTTAGTTTATAATTTTTATATTTCATATTTTAAACAACAAAACAAATATGCAAGTGGCAGAAGTGGGTGCCTCAATGAAGCAGTGATGCGAATACACAGCCTAGCCTTCTCAACAGCCAACCTCACCTACACGTGGTGCATCCTGTTCTCGCATACAAGGCTCTGCCGACCGAGCACAGGCGGTATAACCTGAAAACACCTAGCAGAGGGGAAACTCTCTAGCTACCAAACACCAATTTTTCCCTAGGTTGATCGCAAGGTCAGCAGCCTTGCATCGGATAAAAAGCAACCTTCAAACATGCCTCGGAAAGATGAAAGAACACTTGATAACAGAAACTAAGATTTGGAATATGAAAAGTGTTAAGTATGCTGATACCAGGAAAAATGATGGAAGTAGTCGTTGAAATGCACAGATTAGGGGATTTCTTCAATGACTATTGAATCTCTTTTCGCAATTACCATTTCTTGGGTCCTAAGTGATCTGGTCTTTATGCAAGGTCACTGCCATGTGCATCCTATCATACTCTAAGTTGATTTGACTGTTTACAAATGTATCCATGCGGTTGAATATCTTACGATTTTAACAGTTTATATTATAAATATAGTATTAGTGTACGCAAAGCAGAAATTATATTTTGCTATTAATTGTTGAACGAAATGTCAATCACAATTGCATGATTGTGAAACCAAGTGTCAACCAAGTGTAGACCTAGTTTCACAAGTGTGAAATCATAAAATGGATAAACGGAGGCAAGTTATCATTAAAAACGTGTTTACTGTGCATATTGGTAAGAAAACTATATATAGTGCTGAGCGCAAAACCCTCTGTGTCTTTTATGTAGCTAAGTTTCTAATTGTCCGGAACATTAATTATATGTTATGTTACATTTCAAATATTAGACTGCGTTTATAATTTGGTTCCTTGTTGATGATCTGCACTTCTTCAAAATTGGGAGTATGGTTCGTCGTATAGCAATGGATAGCTAATCCTATCTTTTGATCACTGGAAGTTGATCTGCTCTTTATTTCATGTTTATGACCAGCGATTATTTTGCTCAGTTTGTGTTTTGTTGTACCAATATATACCTGATGACAAATATATAATGATATTAATGAAAGAAGAATTAATAAATAATATTCATAATTGATTTAAACAAATGTAATAAAGTTTTGGCTGTGATTATGATCATATTTAGAATAATCTACAATGTTATTAGAGTCATCAATATAAGCAATGCCGTGCGTATGGATGATTTCACTTGGGGCAACATCTTCTGTAGTTACTAACATTTTGCATTAAAATGTAATGGTGAATGGATCCATGTACACATTCTACAATGACGTTTAAATTCACAAAAGCAGTCAACAGCAGTCCAATTCAGGCTCTGTAAATGTGGAATTCCTTTTGCAGTTTTGCTGAAAGGCAACTGCACTGTAACAAACAACCACCGCGAAATGTTTTCACGAAATCGAGTACTTCCTGCTCGTTATCCTTGCATCATATTTTCAAAGCTTTCACTTTTAATTTTAATTAACGTAATTAATTTAATGCTAGCACATAAGGTGCAAGAAAAATTTTAATTGTACATTTTAAATTGTTTCTATTAATTTTAATTACATGACAAAATTTTGAAAGATAATTGCATATATAGTACGTTTAAGTTAGAAACCCATTTTCGTCATTTAAAGGATAATAAATTGTTTTACTTAATAAATTTTAGATAACGAATTAATTGCAAACAACCTGACAGGATTATATACTATGCATTTCAACAAGTTTGCGGAGGGAATAAGAAAAGCGAAGTCTTAGTTAAATTTGGAACTAAGACTTCTAAGGTATTTCATCGATCTTAAGAATCCCATTTCCATTGTTTTTTCAGAATGTCTGCAAAATATGCTCGCTTCTATGTGTTTTTTGAATGAAAAGCATTTTTCACAAAAGAGTTTTCTGAAATGGCAGTAAATCAAGAAATCGGAAAAAGCTATGTTTAGAGAATAAGGTGCTGGCTACAACTATTTTTGCTTTACTTCAGTGATTATAGCGATGATGACGAGGTTAGTATCTTGATGTATAATTATTTTTTGTTATGTAGGGTTTATCATTTTTTCAATTTCGAATCTAATTGGTTTGCAATATTGGAACAGTACACTTTGTTTATTAATTTATAGCTCTTGTGGTGATCTACTAACAAAATAACTTTTGTATTCCAAAAAACTGAAAAAAAAATTATTTTGTCCACTTTTGCAAAATCGCTTTTGAATCGAACTGAAGAACCGAACTTGAACTATTCCCTAGTCTCCTCTTCTGATACAGATTAGGGTAGTAGATCAAAGTATTTTTAATAGTGATGAAATGCCATATAGATTTGCTACTATCAAGGCCTAGAATATCACCTTCAAAAAGTATGATTATCTGCTAACCCGGAATGCAGATTATACCTCGAAGATGAGGAAACTGCTATGCATATTCTTTGTGACAGTCCAGCTTTAATAACACAGAAAAAGAAATTTGTTTCATATGCAATTTCTGTTACCAGAACAACTTAAGAGCTCTTCTCTAAATCAGTTCTGGACTTTGTTCACAAAACCTTAAATGGCTTTGTGTAATTAATAGTAAAATTGATACAATAGGACTCTTCTGGTCGTAGTACCGGCTGTTAGGCGATTTAAATTTGAAATTTTTAACAATGATAATGATAATACTATCAAGTTTAATTTCTATATTTTTCTAGTGTACTTAATTTAGCTGTAGATATTAAGGTCTGTCTGTCCACATTGTTGTTGAACGATATTTGTTCAGTGATGCTAGGGTTTTTTCTTGCCATTACAACAATTACCTTTAAACTACTTTATAATTAGCTTTAAACTAAAAATTAGTTATATTTTTTATAAGTACACAGTTGTCAAATAACTGATAGTACATCATTAAAGTCTAAATTTTTTCTGAAACCTTTATCTGAAAAACTATTAATAGTTTCCATAAAATTCCTAATATTTTCTTGCTGATACTCTTCAGTTTCTGAACTTTATACACTTGAACTAGTTTTTAAAAAGGGAATGGAAGAGTCAGTTTCACTATATGGGCCTGTAGGAGGTCAGTGGATCGAAAATTACTTTCCCTTTCTAACATTAGGAGGTCCTCAATGGTTGTCTCTTTGGCTTTCATTCGAAAAGCGAATGTCTTCTGTTTGGTAAGAGTCTATACCACAAGAGATCAACTATGGTTCGCGGTACTCTGCTCCGTTAGAAGCCGGTATTCTGCTTTTATCTAATCTAATCTAACCTCTAATTTAATGCATACATAATATTCAAGAACACAAACAAAATATATGCAATATGAAAAACGTACACAAATTTTTTGTTCAGCAAACAACAACGCTCACACGAAATTCCTACGGATGCCAAAACTGATCGAATTAACCCAATCCGATGAATGAGTACACTCATTCATTCATACTACTCGAGTATGTGCTATGACTCATGAAGCACCTGTTATGTATGACATGCATTTATATTTGGATTTTAAGTGTAATCTGAGTCAAAATTATGATTAGTTGCATGTCTCTGGTTCAAATCAAACTTACCATATTTATACAATATTTTCATTATACATTTTTGTAATTCTATACATATTTATATAAGGCTATGGATGCCTTGACGGTTTTAAAGTGAGATATTATATTGTGATCCAAGATAATATAAACTGCAAAACAAAACATCCACGAATCTTTCTCAATCATCAAAAACCTTTTAACCAGGCAACTTATGTAGCATAAGGCATGTATTAAAGATAAAAAATATTATTGGTGAGATCTCAGATAAATATACAGAAATTAAAAGTCATAAAAATTTTGTACCATCTCATGTTTATTAAAAAAAACTTTAAAAATTATATGCCATATTTTTTAATTGTTAAACAAAACTCAATTTGGAATTTTAAAATTAATAAACAAATTTCTTTAAACCTTTGGTATCCGTTCAAGAGATGTACATTAATCTCGTTAATATATGCGACTTTATTCTATTTTTAAAAGATTTTCAACTTTTAAGAGTTGGACAATAAATATAGTGTTTTAGTAAGTTCATCTATGTGCTCTTGTTTTATTTTCACAAGATTTTCTAAAGACTGAATTTTTTTTTCGCTCACAGTGAGTTCCTTTAAGTTTCTTGCTAATTCCTTAACACATTCCTCATACTCTGCATAACTGATCATTTTCTTTGGCACCTCTACAGTGGAAGCCTCAACCTCTTCAGTGTTGATTACATTGATTTCTGCATTTCCAATAGACTTCTCGGAAATAGATTTCTCATCTATAGAGGAACTTTCTTCTAAAATAGACTTCTTTACATTTGAAAGCAATTCTTTTTCAAATGTCATTACTTTTGTAAGCAGAACTTCAATTTTACCCGTCTCGCATTTTGCCAATTGTTCCAACTTTGATTTGCTAAGTTTCATATTTAGCTTACTAAACACCTTATTGTTTATCGTTTCCCAATTAGCCAGCTTAGACTGATACCCATGGCACCCAGAATAGTTATGAATATCGACTAGTTTGGGTACAATGTCTTTTAATAACTTAGCCATCAAAACTGCATCAGAGAAAATCTTATTTAATTTTTCAGTTGGAATTTTATGATTTTTCAGCCATTCAAGCAAGTCATCGTATTGAGACACATTTTTTGAGACGTGTTTTGAGTCGCATCCACGTTTTGCATTACGTGAGTTCATTTTTAAAAAGTTTTTCAGAAATTAATTTGATTAATGATTATACTAACAAATATTTATTGTACAGAAAAAATATTAAAAAAATTTTCTAAACTTTCTTAACTTTAAATATAAAATTTATTTCAAGGTTTACTCTATATTTTTTACAGCTCGTATCACATCACAGAAAGATATGTTTTATACAAGGTTGTAATGTGAATTCTAGGTTAGTCACTTGTCCTTATTCTTTCATTCATATAATTTTCGAAAAGCAAAGAATAGTAATAATTAAATAAAAAGTGACAAAAAACCTGGAAGTAGAGCACTGAAAGTTTAAGCAGCCTTGGCTACTTGTAGAAAAACACGATTAGACACCGTTTCTAATTTGACAGGCATGAGTTCTAAGCCTGGCACTTGCAGTCCAAACAAATTATATACGGACTATAAACTAATTAAGAAATTCGATTATTTCGGAGACGACTGATAATGCAGAGTACTTGACAATACTCGAAACAGCGTTGCATGGTCAGCCAAATTTCAATAAATTAAGTAAAATTTTTGTTCATGTCTTTTCTTTGCTATTCGAATCCATCTAAATAGTTTCTTTTTGTCATAAAGACGCGTTACTCTTTGCAAGAAAAAATTAACATTAAAAAACTTTTTAACTTAATATATCCAAACTTTCATCGATAAATAAATGCATATCGAATGATGATTTAAACTCAATGGTTAGTCAATATTTGTTAATTATCTGAAAATAAAAAAGGCTGTAAGGATAAATGAAGACTTTTGCAAATAAATTTATGATTAACATATATATTCGCATAGATTTGTGTACCATATATATATATATTGTGGACAGAACTGATACATTGAGTGTTATTTTACGTCCAGCACACAATTGGCTTTACTCTACTTCTTGACATAACGTAAAAGTCCACCTAAGGCGCAGTGAATAATATTCCCCAAATAATAATAATACCTATTGAGAGTTTCGCTGATGCCTTCCAGTTTTTTTCGAATTGAATTTACTCTTTGAGCGGGTTTTAATATTGTTCATCCATGTAAGAAAAGGAAAACTTATTTAAATATTTTCAGAATTCTCCTCAGTATGTTTGCATACATATTATATATTTAAATATAGCGTAAACATACCAGCGATTCCTGATATGCAACCTCATTACTCGCCCTAGTACTCGCATCGCTACTGGTGCTGCGCTTGCCATTCATGCACACATTTCCACTTAACGCACTTGAATCTCATTCATTTCCATACAATTTACTTTTTTTAAATTCGCCCGGAAAAAGTCCTTTACATTTTATCCTATTTTTTGATATTTTTTATATTTCAGAAACTGTTTCGGTTTTGTAGTGTTTGTTGTTGTTTCCCCCACTCGCCATATTTTTGATTTTTTAAATATTTTTGTTTACACAATTTAAGCATTTAAGTCCTTTTTTATGCTTTATTTTTTCCTTTCAACTGGGTTTTGCAATTTCTTATACTGAAAAAAAATCAACAACAACAACAATAACAATAATAGCACCGACCATGGAACCAACAAAACTATTGCAAAAACAATATCAAATAATGAAATCATATTTCACTGTGTCACCCACCCATAATATGTGTGGGCTACGCTTACACGCATCCACACAGCAGTCAAGTATCCACGGATCCATGGATGACGACGGAACACTGTTTTTTGTTTACGGTTATTCTGTAAGCTAGCAAAAAGGGGTAGCCAGAAGTGGCTCGAGTGGAAGCTGGAGCACGTTTGAGGAAAATACTTTAAGCTGAGTTAACACGTTTACTGTCCTATGTCCTGACATTTCCACGCAACATGTTATTACCCTTTCCTTTCCTAATGCATTCCTCCATAACTTTCGAATTTATTTAAAGTTTTTTTTTATATTTTCTTTGTAAATTTAATTTCTGATTTAATCAAACTTTTATTGTTCAAAATTTCTTATTATATCCTTTAAGTGTCTTTAAGTGTGAACTTATGTAAGTCTTATGTAAGTCAGTATTTCACACATACCACGGAGCGTTAACTGCTTCTCCGAGTGCTTTGTTTTGGAACCTTTATATCATATCTATTATATGATTTTTTCCATAACTCCAAATTTGTACGTTGAGCCGTATAGGCTGAAAGATTTGTTTTTAAAACATGACTTTGTTTTGCTAAGATATTTTGGATCTACTTCTAATAAGCCAAGTAAGTTTTTTGGATCTAATATTTAGCTGAATGTACTTTCTATCTCAGATTGTAAAAAATAAATAAAATTATTCCTTATCAAGCACTTTTTGCTATTTGCATTAAAATAAAAATAAAATTAATTAAGGTTCATTCGTTTTATAATCATAAAGTTGCACCCAGATTTGTAGAGACTAATCTTAAAAGAAATACAACAAAGTCATTATTCTGACTTTATTGTTGTTTATTGCATGTAGTCTTCTTAGGACAGAAAATCGGCTATAAACGCAGTGCTCTTTTACTGTCAGAACCAATACCCCGTATTTATTCCATACTTATTCTCACTTGAAAAAGTTTACTGAAGACAAAATATAAACCAGGGTCGTTGTGCTGATAGCCAGTAACCCTTATCTGTTCTATTGTTGCTCTTATACAAAGTAGTCTTTGGTGTACAAAATATTAACCATGGTCGCTGTGATATAGTATCCCGAACTTATTTCAATTTTTCTTTTATTCAAATTAGTGTGTAAGGACAAAAACTATCAATCATGATCATACTACCGGGAGATATATTACCTCGTATTTATTCTATTTTTCTTCTAATTCAAAACCGTCTGCTGAGCACAAACTATCAATTATGATCACAGTGCTGGAAGTAATTACCCGTATTTATTCTATTTTTCAGTATATTCTTTACTTAAAAAAGTCTCCGCACCACCTCCCAGATGATATCCCGTATTTGTTTATTTTTTTCTCTTATTCAAAATAGTATTGTAACCACTAAATATTAATTACGGTTGCAGCGCTGGGAGTCAGAACATATATATTCTATTGTTCTTCCTTTTAAATACAGTCTTCTAAACACAAAAGATCAGCAATGGTTTTCTTTGAGTACCTCGTATTAATTATAATTTTCTACTTATTCGTAATAGTCACTTGAGCTTGTGCTCAAGTGAAGCACCCGTGGTAGCAGTTCTTTATTTCACTGAGAGCCAGTATACCATATTTATGCTTTTTTTCTTATTCAAAATTATCTATTGGTTTGTGTATACAGCACTCAACGTCTAAAGCTGATATATATAGATGACTTAATTGTTATTGAAATGATAATTTTTAGTTGCAAATTTCAGTTTGGGAAATAGCCAGTAGAAACAAGCAACCAAATTAATTGAATAATCCGTATAAATATAATCAGTAAAAATGATGAAATTTTCGTTCAAGAAATCACTGATCGGTTTTTCTGAATTATCGTACAAAAAACTGAATGCTTCTTAATATTCCAAGTAAATTGATCGAATTTCCAATAGCTACAGAAGAACCACCGTCTGACTTTCTGGGATGAATTCATTGCAAACACTTTGCTTGTAATTGAGAAAAACGGTTGACCTTGTCTTGATGTCACTCTTCTGAAAGTGTAATATTTTCTCTTTTAGATAATCGAGTGACTTCTTTGGTGGATTTTGAACACTGTTTTATCATTTTGGAAACACCACCACTCACATCATTACAATAACTGATTAAGCATTTCAAGGGCTCTATTGGGTAATGCTAAATTCTCTAGTTTTTTTAGTTTTTTTTATCGAAATATGCTTAAACATAAAGTAAATGTTTCTCAATTTTCCACTCTTTCCGGGTCGAGGCTTATTATTCTACAACATGTCTAACATAGAAATTAGCTAAACACTAAATACATTCATCAATATATATGAGATTGGATGTAAATTATTTCACCTCATTCCGAAAGTTACGAGGAATGCAAAATCACATAAGCTGTTTGGGGACTTTGGAAGGTCATTTTAAATAATTTGATCTCTTCACTTCAACTAACTTTCAATAAAACAAATAATTCATTGTGAAATTATTTTTCCAATTAAATTAATAAAACAATCCTACAAATATCTGTTACTTCATTATAAATACTATACTCAATCATTTGTGTTTAATGGCCGACTTCCAGCATTTGTAAAACTACGATTTGAGTGAAAACGGTTTATTGCTCTAAATTAATTTGTTTTTTTTTTAAAGACAATAGCACTTTGAAAATAAAATCTTAATTATATATAGTTTTAAGAATCTTCACGTCATTATACTTATACTCGTATGCAGTAATAACACTCTGCCTTAGTGACTTTGAGTCTCCTTACCTTAGGTAATGAAGTCCATACTGACCGATAAATCACTATCATAATTGACTAATATATTAAATGTGCTAAATCTTGTTGGACGATGGCGAAATGAAAATTAAAGAGATCCCTTAAAACTGTGGGTGTTATGGTTTCGTAAGAAGATTAAGAGGTGTGAAAGGTTTCCACTCACTGTATGTTACGTTTGCCGACTTAAGATCAAAAACACAGTTGCTTAAATATATCTAAGGGTTTGTTGGAAAGGGTAAAGCGAAATTAATTTAAACTTTTGTAGAGATTCGCAATCATTTATTAAGCATGGATTTACATTTGAAGCTATCATTCGTGATCCCGTTTAGAGGTTTCAATATAATCTGAGGACCCTTTGAATTTCAAAAATTGTTCCGCAACAAAGCCTGTGTTTTAGTTTTCATTAGAAATTTAAAAACAATTTATCTTATGACATACATTTTTATTTTGAAGTTCAATTTGGATATTTCCATTGATTTATATATATTTATGACTTATACATACATTAATACATATATGTTTCTATTTTTTTTATGCATTTTAAAATTTTAGTTTGAAAAACCAAAGAAAATCGATATGTTCCAACTTAAAGATATGCAACATTACAATTAATATATATAAACATATGCTATATGTAATATATATATACTATATATACATATGTATATATATATATTGTTTACAAATAAATGTCATTGTTTTAAAGATTTTTACAATTTGAAGTTCTTTTAGTTATAACAGCAATATTAATTTTTCTGAATAATTATCATATGTAATTATCATATATACAAATGTATATATGTATATAAATTTCTCTATATGTATATATTATGATTTCTGAATGCTTAATTTTAAATATTAACATATAAACTGCAAATAAATACAAATACTAAATTGTCTTGTGTTTTTTTTTTCCTGTTAGTATTTATTTTTAAATTCATATATTTTTATATATTCATACTTTGGATTATTTATGCGTTTACATAATAATTACACTATTATCCTATATATATATTTTTTTTTCTTTCATCGATTTGTCTTAAATTATATATAATATTAAACAACAAGAAGTAAAAACTAGTTAAGTTTGCAACAATTTAAAAATATAATTGATAATAACTAGAATATATATTAATAATAACAATTATAGGATAAATAATAATTACAAAATAACAAAGAATTGTTTTGATTTTTTATAAACTGTTTCATAAATATTTAAGGGAATTTATAAAAAAAAAAAAGAATTAATTATTAACAATTTTTTTTTATTTTCAGAACTGTTAAAAATTATTTGTGTTAAATAAATGCAATACACAATACATATTTACAGGTTTTTATCTTATAGAATAAATGCAACAGTTTTATGCAATTTTGATATATTATATAGAGTCTGAATATTTACAATTTTTATTTCAAATAAAAAAATCAAATTTTATATATTATAATATTTTTTTGTTATGA